CTAGAGCCGCTACCAGTGCTCTATAGTTGTGTCTGTTGTCTGCTGACAACTATCCAAGTATTTCCAGTGGTTGTCCCTTCAAGCTCGTTGCCAGATATACTGCTTCTGCTCCTCTGTCCATCCATTCATTTCTTCCAGTAGCTCAAATTGTGCTCTATATGCTTCCCATGGTGCCTTCCTTCGTACTGGATCACCCCTATGCTGACATTCATATCTGGGATGTGACTTCTAAGAGGACTGAAGATGTCTGCATTAGGGTTTAGCTGTGAGGTCTGGAAGGGGCTTGCCATTGTCTGGGGCTGATTAAGTCGATGGTTAATGTATCCTCCTTGTGTAAAAGACAATATATCATCCTTTATTGTATTTAATTCGCTTTGAAATTTACTAATGTTTTCCATTTGTACTTCTTGTTTCCTTTCTTGTTCCAGTTGCCACTGCTGTAATCTCTCTTCTTGTTTTTTCTTTTTCCTCCAACAACTGCTGCAATTTCTCTTCTTGTCTTTTTCCCGTTCTTCTTGTTTATTTTCTCGTTTTTCTTGTTTATTTTCTCGTTCTTCTTGTTTCTTTTCTTTTTCCTCCAACAACTGATGTAATCTCTCTTCTTGTTTATTTTCTCTTTCTACTTGTTTCTTTTCTTTTTCCTCCAACAACCACTGTAATCTCTCTTCTTGTTTATTTTGCTGTTCGAGCTGCCACTGTTGCAGGTTTTCTTGCAACTGCTGTTGTCTCTCTTCTTGTATTGCTGCCATCAAATCTGCTAAGCTGTAGTTTGATTTACCGCTTCTCATTTCCATTTTTTTTTCTTTCTTTTCCGTCCAACTCTCTGACACCAATTTGTTACGCCTCTGTTCGTTAGTTAATTTTCCGTATAATTTCTTTCCGAAGCAACTTTAGTGATATAAGTAATTTCTTAAATAAAACTGGTTTATTCTTTCTAAATACAACTATGCAATACACTTAATTTCCACAGTCACGCTATAACTCACAACAAACGACTCACGTGCTCGACTCAATCGTCAATCTCTGTCTGCAGTTCAATTACATTACATTCTTGCCGTCACTTCTTGGCGGCCTTATATACACAAGAATACCGCATGCCTAGTAACCTCTCGAGGCTTCATGAACCTTCGAGAATATGACGTGTTACTAGCGTCA